CTCAGAATAATTTGACCTGCAGTCTAGATCAGTGGTGGTATTCAAATAAAGTTGCCACCGGTTCGGTGGCCGTGGTTCAGTGGCCGTGCTTTGCGCGCATGCACACACTTTGCGTGCACGCACGCGCCAAACGCATTTTGAACAGGCGCAGAGGCGTTCTAACTTGCCTCCTGCAAGCCTGCACGATGGTGGTCACTGCACCAGCTGCCGCATGGCGGTATTCTGTGCCACACAAAGCAGCTGCGCTTTGAATTCTGGCCATAAAAGTGAGTATGGGAGCCCGAGCTGGTGGGTGGGCCAACCACAGAGCAGCAAAGAGAACCGGTTCGGTCTCCACTGCTCATCGCCGCTACTGGTTCTCCAGAACCGGGCAGAACCGGTTGAATACCACCACTGGTCTGGATGGAAGTCATACAAGGACTGCTCACAAGTGCTGTATCCCACAGGATCACGATGTACAAGAGGATAGGATCTTCTTACTGTCTCTGCTGATGGCAGAGATGGGAGTCCATTCTGTTGCTTATGCTTTTCCCCGTGTGCGTATCATCACCACAGCTGTGGACAAGAGAGTCAACGAGGAATTCCATATCATCCCTGGCATTGGTAAGCAGTTGTGGTTTTCTGACACTTTGTTTTGCTCTGGCTGGTTTGGTGAGCCTGAATGACACAGATCAGGGCATTGTCTAGCTATAGCATTCATGTTCTGATAAGTGATTCTGTTCGGCTGCTTTAACAATAATTTTTGTCTTAGGTGAGGACACTGCAAGATTAACACTTATTATTTGATGCAGTGTGGTGGGTATTTCCATGGGCCAGAAAGAAGTTCCTGAGCTGCATCTATTACAAGCATGTAATTCATGTTTTATTAGGGAACTTCGGAGATCGTTATTTTGGCACAGATGGCATCATCCCCTGGTATGAGAATGACGACATGGATTGCTGACCTGATTCTGCCGGACAAGGCTTTATTTCTTGAGTATGGGGTGTCTCTTCTTGGCTTGACTACAGGCATAATGCTATTGCCCTGGTCCTTTCTTTTCATAACGACAAGCTCTACTAGACTGCTCAGCAGTGGTGTAATTTTGATAGCACTTCCTGCTATATAATACACCAACTGGGATGGAAACATTGCTGCTGCTGCTACCTTCCCATTCACAGTCTCCTTCGTATTTATTGGTATTTATTGGGGCATTTACTTCACTGTACTACTGCTTCCCATCTTTTCTCTTTTTTTCAAATGCAATACTTTTATTATAAAATAGTATAAAGAATATAAGAATTCGTATGAAACATGATTTCATTGTGGGCAGCAGCATCATGGGTGCAAGCGGCGGGAGCGAGATGAGGCGCTGTTCTGGGAGGCTAGAAAGGTGTCCGGCTCCATTCTTCCTTCAGGGACCTTTCTCTTGGATTTGACTTCAAAGGCTCCATGAAAGGATCCCTTTGGGTCACCTGGTTGCTTTCATTCAGCTTCAATGTGTAGCTTCAGCAGCATCTTGTCCTCCTATCAAGGATGCTGTAAGAAAGTGTATCCCTGCAAATCCATTGGATTTTTCACTGATCTGGTGAGCTACTGTGTCCTTTTATATGTGTTTCCTCACTGGCTGATGTGCAATGCAAGCCGGCTTCTGCACGTTGACCTGGGGTTCCTCTCTAAAATAAATTGATGCTGACTTGTACAGGATCCTGTGATCTTGACAGTTTGTGTGTAAATTGCACTTGTCCTCCCTAATTTATGACTGCACGAGCATTTGGGACCACAGTGTTGCTATAAGGGACCTCATGCTAGAGGCAAGTGCTCTACACCCAAAGTCAATACTACCGTATTATTAGTCAAAGCCAGAGCTACATTTGCCTTCCAAACCAAAAAAGTGGCTATTGGCCTAACATTGGGCCCGCAACCTGCAGTCCCTTATCCTGATCTGTTTTTCAGTACTGTACTCAGCTGACTTGTTTTTTTTTTAATGCCATAATAAAAGATTTACACTGCTACTTGGCTTTATCTCTTTGTAATTGGGATCTTAGCTGGATGTCTTTCAGGTGAAGACGGGGAATATGGGGATGTCATTTACATCCTATTTGCTCATTTAATTTCAGAAAACAGATTGAAAGAATCATAGTATCAGAATAAAAATTAAATCTTGCAATACAACTGAATTATAAAATATTTTGGAAGAGTAAAAATTATAGAGCCTGGGTGGTGGTGTACTGTTATCCAGTGACCAGGAGTTGAGCTCAGCTCTATGGCATCAAGCATTGCTGCCAATAATCAAGATTTGGTAAACTGAGGAGAGAAGAACACAAGCACTTGGTTACTAGATTGCCATTGGCAGGATCTGTTGTTCAGTAGGAACAAAACCATTGCAAAACCATGTCTCCAATCCCTACCTTCTTGGTTCAGAAGGAAGTCGTATGAAGTGCCAGGAAGGCAACACCTACTATTCAAATACAGATGGGTAATTCTTTGGAGCAACAAATATTTTCAGTTCCATATCCAAATCGGGAAAGGACCAAACAGTCCACTTCCGGATTATTTACAGATGCAATCTTTATGACCTCAAAAAGAGACTTTCAAAGCAAAAGGGAGCGTCTTCAAAAGGGGTGAGGGATTCATCACTGCTGTTCTCAAGACAAGTAAATTCTCTCCTCTGAGATATTTAAAGTAAAAAAGGTAAAGGGTTTCTCTTGTCCAGGTGTGTCCGACTCGAGGGCGGTGCTCATCTCCATTTCCCAGCCAAGGGAGCCAGCATTGTCCAAAGATGCTTCTGTGATCATGTGGCTGGCATGATTATATGCCAAGGTACACAGAATGTTGCTACTTTCCCACTTGAAGTGGTATTTATTTGTCTATTTGAATCTGTTTGCTGAGGTACTTGCCACCTCTCAAATTCAGCACACGCATCTTGGCTGCCTAAAAGCCAAGAGCAGCACAGGCCCATCCCACAGTAGCAGAGCTGCTACTACTAAGGATCTTGTCCATAAGATCTAAAGAAGCCAAAGTAACCCTACAAGATGCCCCAGTTATGCCACTTGTTCCTGCCAATGTAAAACAAGTGGTTTTATCAGCAAATGGCATGCGAAAATGTCAAAGCATCTTGAAGAGATTGGTCATCCATTCTTTTCCAGTAAGGTATGGGGGATCTTAATGGGATCAGATGGCATTTTCCCAGCACATTAAATGGAGAAGTACTGGCATTCAATTGCTCTAACCTCTATGGTATAGGCCTATACCTATATGTGTGTTTCATCAAATTCCAGTTTTTGCCAGTAATGTTCAATGCATCACATCTGTTGCTACAGTATGTATCTGCTCAGTAAAGCATAGAACCTTTCAGGATCTGCAGTTAGGCCACTTTGGAGCAGTTGCATCTGATGTCCTCATAATCACATTCTAGTGACTGACAAGTCTCATGATGGAACTGTCCAAATTTTATGGGATAATTTCCAGGTGTATATTTTTTTTAAAAAAAGATCCATAACGTGACTAGAACAAGTTATTCGTCTTCTGCCATTGTGAAGTCAGTGTTAACTAATAAAATGGATATGACAGAAGTCAAAGCCGATTCTTTTCTTTGCCCAATTCCATTAGACTCAAATTGATCAACTCTGCCCCAGATAAAAGCACTCCCATCTAACCAAAGAATAGAACCAACTCACAGTACAGCCAGGAGTAACCATTACAAGGGAATTGCAAGGTAGAAAAATCCCAACTTGCCATCTTAGCTGCTAATGACCTCAGCATTCCATCTTCTCAATGGACTTCACCAGCTGTGTTCCCCTCCTGAAAGGCCCACTTCATCTAATAGAAGGGACAGGGTATAGATCCTACCTAGCTTTCCAAACTGGCCAGCCGAGCAGATCTTGAGGGCTTCCCCACCATCTATAAAACTAAAAAAATTCCATGGTTCAGAATCTTCCCTCTTGTAAAACTGCTTCCCAATGATCCTTGCAAAAAACATACAGTAGTTCTCAATGTTGTGCTCCTTCAACAGACTGAATCCACAACATAGTGAAGATGGTTTAACCTCATGCTTTGATACTAATTATACCTACTTAGGTATAGTTTGTTGCAAATAATTGTTTCCTTTGGGATATGACTGATCTATTTTGCTTATAGGAGGTCTTTAACATACAGTAAAAATGTTGGTGCAGGTAGTCCTTGATCAACGGAGCCCAACATTTCTGTTCCTAAGTGAAAAAATTGTTAAAGTGAGTTTTGCCCCAATTTATGACCTTTTTTGCCACAGTTGGTAACTGAATCACTGCAGTTAAGTTACTAACACAGTTTTTAAGTAAACCTGGCTTCCCCGTTGACTTTGCTAGTCAGAAAGTTGCAAAAGGTGATCAGAAGACCCTGGGACACAGCAGCCATCATAAATATGAACCAGTTGCCAAATGTCTGAATTTTGATCACATGGCCAAGGGGATGCTGCAACAGTTGTAAGTGTGAAAAATGATTATAAGTCTTTTTTTTCCTGTGCTGCTGTAACTTTGAATGGTCACTAAATGAACTGATATAAATTGAAGATTACCTGTATTCTGCAGTATTACAGGCCTACAAAGTTACAATCTAGGGAAGCTGCTCTCTGGAGTAAATTGAAAGTGCACTCCGTTTGGATTGCAATTTATCAAATCTGAAGGCTGTTAAATGTCTATGGACACATCCAGTCATCCAGGTCATGGATGCCCCAAAGGTGTTTCTTCAGCTTCTTCCAGATGAGAAGAATGAGAAGCCAAACGCCTTAAACGAAAATCCAGTTGCCTCTTGAAAAAGCACCTTTGAGACGAAGGCTGTTAGTTTTGACTGTTCACACATTATGCTAAACCAGGGTTTAATCACGATTGAATAAACCACGATTGGTTGAATTCATACACCCCGGCCAGCCAAAATCAAAGTACCTATGATGCCTCATAACAAAGTGCCAAGCTACCAAAAGCAGTCTCATCTCTCTCTCTCTCTCTCTCTCTCTCTCTCTCTCTCCCTCTGTGCATTTCAGGAAGCAGGAAAGATCTTCAAAAAGACCGCAGGTACACGAGGATCGGGCGAGCCTCTTACCGGACACCTCCGACTTCAGCTCCTGCGGAATTCCTCCCGCCGCGCAAACTCACGATTGACACTTCTTTAATCCAAACACTTCCGCGTCTGCGCAGTGAGCATCCTGGAGGCCGGTCGGCCGGTCGCTTTCCGTGAGCGGAACAAACGAGCCAGCGGTAGGTGGGCTGGAGGGCCGGTCTTGGGGGGGGGGCGGGGGGCGCGTTAAGCAGCGAGTGGCGGAGGGCGACGTGGCTTGATCGTCCCGCGGCTTTGCGCTCTGGGCCTTCTCTGAATCTCCGGGAGGGAGGAGCTGTTTTATAATCATTATTTTTTCCTTGCCCGACGCGCACCGTGCAGTTTAGGGAGTTGCAAACTCTTGATATAACAAGTCCGTGGGGTTGACGGGCGGAAATCATAGGATTTTCTGGAAGTGTTAGGCCCAAGAGATTAAGCGAGCGCCGTACGAAGGAGTGACAGTAGCGGCTTCTGGACTGTAGGTAAAAGGTAACCGTAGACTTTTAAGGACGCGACTGAGGAGAGAGGAGGCGGATCCAGGGCGAAACCCAGGTATGTAGTAGGATGGGGGATTATGGTTTTCGCGCCCTATGGCTGACGAAAGCGAGAGTGGGAAAAGGATTGTACTGCTTTATTTATTTCCTTGATTTCTGTCGCAATAATTTAGCGCTAAAAAGAACGGATTTAACGGGTCAGATGTTGTGGAGATGAAATGAAATGAAAATGAAATGAAATGCCATGCAAGGAGGAAGGCCACCTGCCAGAGCATTAAAAACAGGAACCGGTCGCGAAAAGTTATTGAAACTGCAAACAACGAAGTTTTAAGATAACCCCGGTAGCGGAAGAATCGAGTCTGGTAAATGAGGGGTTTTCCAGCTCTTTTTAAAGACTGCGGCACTTGTTTTTGGAAAAAAAAAACCAAGAACCCAGAACTCCTGATCAAGAAGCAAAGTTCCTGTGACAGAAAATTTGGTTCAGTAAACTTTAAAAAAAACAACAACTTTATTCTCCAGTGGAAATGCCATGGAACATAAGTTTGAAAAACTGTACCATAAATTATGCCTTGGAGCATAATTTAAATAGTTCTTGACAGCCGGGAAGCAGGTTGTCCAGGAGGAACAGGCACCAAGACTTTCCATTGCTGTATAATTTACCTTAAGAACAACAGTTTTATAGCTCATCTATTTTCAGCCTCTTCTGAGTCAAGCCATTTGCCTATTTTGCTACCAAAATATTGGGAGCATTCTATGGAGTCGGTAACTTTGCATATTTTTATCAGTGTAATGGATAAACCTTTCCAGTCTGATTACAATTTAGAAGCTAATTGCAGTTTAATTATAAAGGCTGCATAATAACTAATCAGTTTGGGATATCCTGAACAAGCAGGTTAATCATGGAATGTCTGATTCCTTTGGGTAGTGCTAGCAAGAAAGGAAATAAAGATTTATCTTCTTTGGTGCATCCCCTTTTCTTACCAAACTAAGGACGGCTAATAACAGAATGATGGATGTTTTATTTTGCATTAATTTGTGCCTTTAAGAAATTCAGCTATCAAACATAATCTCTTTCAGCATCTATATTGTATTAGGTAAATTGGGCACTATTTAGATAATTGATGTGCTTATTTCTATTTGTAGTTTTATACAGGGAATAATGGAAGAAAATATATTTTGGAGAGGTTGCTGTTTGTCAGTTTTGGGTTAAAAAAATTATGAATATTGAGAATGTGATGGTTTTGGAAGGTGTGATATGCAGAGGGATGTGATATTAGTGTGATATTAGTGGGAACTTGCTATTGTTTAGGACGGTGCAACCTAGCAAATTTGTTTTAAGTGCTAGAAACTTAAGTGCTAGAAACTTAAGTTTGCAAGTCAGTCTAGATACGGAAACTAGATTATTTTATTTTCTGAATAGACAGGGCCTTCTTGAGGAGTAAATGTGAATTGTCTATCAGAAGGCAGGAAATGTTTTTGGCATGCGGAATGCAAAAATAAGACTTTTGAATTGTTATTGAGAACACCTCTATTTATTTAAGCAGCTTTAGAGAAATAACATTTTAAATACTGAGTGCAGCTTTTTACATAAGTCTGTCCTTTGGGGATTTGTACAAGTTCTCACCAATGTGATTTTCTGTAATGTATACTTTTATAAATAAAACTATGGGATTTTTAGTAAAGGCAGTAAAGTTTAGTGTATATTGACTGCTCTGGAATAAAAGGGGAGGAAGAAGAGGAGGAAGGAAGCAAGCTCCATAGCCCTATGTGGAGATCTCATGCAGTAGGATGATGATGATAATGTCGTCTTACATTATCTTGATAATGTAATCTAAGACCCCTCAAGTGATAGGATTGATTGTATCTGTTCGGGACACACTAAAGCCTCCAAACAGGGAATGCCTTGTCACATTGCTAGTTGTGGTGGCAGGGAGCAGTCTGAGCTGTGCTGTGTCTTTTCTTGTAGGGTTAAGATAAAGTAAGCTGTTGAGGTTGAAAACACACAGGATGGAGCTAAAGGTGTACTTCTTCCTTCTCTGAGTTTTGAAACTGGAGCTGCTCTGGAAAATGAAGTCGATTGGAAAGCTTGTAACCTGCAGATCTTGATTTTATCTCTCCATAAGCTTTTGAAACCGAGCACCAACATTTTATAAAGTTGGCTCAAACTTTGGTTTGAAGAAAAAAGGATACCTTTTCTCCAGGGCCTTTCTGTTCAGTTAATTAAATAGATTTATGGCTGTGAATAAATATTTTTGTGGCCCATAAATTAAAGGAAACAAGCTGCTTTACAAATACTGATTAAACAAGGCAACCAGCAAAATGTCTCGAAAGTTGCTAGACACATACTGTACGCTGCAGCTCTTGCTTAGGAAGTTAAATAACAGAATCTTATTTCCTTAATTTCTGTTCAGCAAACTCTCATTGTTTACTGTTCTCTTGGCCAGGAACTACTAGCAGAATTCAGTGCTGGCTATTACAGAAAACTCACTGACCTGGTGCAGGACAGTTTCATTCCATTGGCATTTCAAATGAAATGACTCAGCCTTTGGGGGATTAATCTGACTAAGCTATTCAATCTTGCAGAGCCTGCTCAGGCTGTCTTAACTTTGTTGGCCTAGTAGTACAACAGGAGGGCCTTGCTGTGTACTACATGGGAGGCTGGGCTTAGAGGAAAATCCTGATTTAAAATAGGTGAAGCTGCAACAAGGTACTTGGAGAAAAGCTGAGCCACTGCCTTGCGGGGTTAATAAACAATATCCATTTTGGCCCCAAATAATAACCAGTGCCATAAATCAGACCAGCTGCTTCTGTTGACTCAGATGGCCATGTCATTATTTTCTCTATTGAGCCAGTTCAACTGAGGCAGAAAGACCAAGGCTAAACCTTGCCCAGTTTGGTCACCTGGTTCCATGAATAAGCAGCCTCAAAGCACCAAGAAGAGCTGAAGACTTATTCGAGGATTAGGCAATGAGCTGAAGATTTCTCTTCTTACAGCTGAATGAAATAGGATTCAAAATGCACAGGTTCAGTGGCTTAAGGCAAAGTCTTTATTTCCCAAAGAGGGTGGGCAAAACATATCTTCCTTCCCGTTGGCCTGCATTGCTTTGTACAAGCAGCAGGGCAAAACCTGGCATGCTTGTTGCTTCATACTTTTCTTCACTTTCTGATGAATAAGGTACCTGTTTACTTGGCAACTCCTCCATTTTTCTCCTCAGACCAGGGTAGTTTACTAAGGGCCACAGAATTAATTTCTATTATATAAGGTTTCTTTTCTCCTCCTTTTAGCAGACTAAGATATAATCCTCAAGCAAAAGACATGAACAAGAGTTTTCCACAGCACAAGATGCATTCCCTGAATATTACCCAGAGTCTTGCTTCCTTCACAGTGGATTGTAGAGCAGGGGTTATCTGCACCCCTGTGTAGCAACAGACATTCTGATCTATAGGCATTTATTCTCTTCTACGATGACATCCTTTTTGTGTTATAGCTCAGCCCTTTATGTTGCTCCTTAATTTAGAACAAGATGGCGGAAGGAGGCCGGCCACAGAGGAAGATGTCACGGGCTGGAGAGAGCTTATATCACATCCTGGGCTTGGAAAAGGGTGCTTCCCCAGAAGACATCAAGAAAGCATACAGGTTGGGTACCTATGATTGGGTTTCAAGTTAGCCTTCCTTATGTCCAAGATGTTTGACTTCACAGGAGTCCCCTTGCTTTGGTCCTTTTGATAATTGGAGGCAACCAAAAACTGCATATAAAACAATGAACAGATTGTCACAAACAGAGATACAGAGTGCTTTGCCTTCTTCACCAAGAAACCAAAAGGACCTTAAATATACCTGCATAGCAGGATTGGTTAAGTAGAAACCATTGGGGAGAGATGGTCTCTCAAATAATCTAATTCCAAAAAATGACAACCAGTACCTGGAATTGCATCAAACACCACACTGGCAACCAATGCAGCTCACAGGAAATAGATTCTTGAATGCACCGAATAACTTGCGCTATGCATTCTGTACCACTTGAAGCTTTCCAAATGCTCCTCAAGAGCAGCCCCATGTTGAGGACATTGCAGTGGTCCAGATGGACAATCAACTTGCTAAAACTGAGTCGCCCTGTCTGATGGTGTTTGAGGACTCTGATGTTGCCCACCACACTTTTTTAATAAGCTATTTGACTCTAAAACCTCTTTCTGACCTACTTACTAGGGGTTAGTTGGAGTAAGTAGGTCTTACTAGGAGAAAAGAAGGAGAGACTATGAGCCCAGTCAATAGCTTTTACTGTAGAAAGAGCTGTTGACTTCCCTAATCTTTGATGGCTCATAATCTATTAACACTGCGGAGGAAGTTTGCTGATGTCTCTTAAATATGTATTCCCACATCTTTCTCCCCAGGAAACTGGCTTTGAAATATCACCCAGATAAGAATCCTGATAATCCAGAAGCAGCAGAGAAGTTCAAGGAGATCAATAATGCCAATGTAATTCTCAGTGATGAGAACAAGCGGAGTCTCTATGATGAATATGGCTCTATGGGACTCTATGTGTCCGAGCAGTTTGGGGAAGAAAGTGTGAAGTATTATTTCCTCATGTCCAAGTGCTGGTTCAAGGTAGGTGGCTCATAGAAGAGGAACCGACAGGTTTTTTTCCCCTTTCTCCAGCTATTTTTTTTTTCTTTTTGCCAGCTATTGCTCTGATAATGAGCGTCTGTTACGGACTCCTCTTAAGAGGAGACTAATTTTGTCATTTGCACCCCTTCTCCAGACAATAGTAGCGTGCTGTGGCCTCTTGACATGTTGCTGCTGCTGCTGCTGCTGCTGCTTCTGCTGTGGGAAATGCCGCCCACCTGAAGAAGACGAGTCCTACAAGTATGTCAATCCTGAAGACCTGGAGGCCCAGATCCGTGCAGAAGACAATGGTGAGATGGTTAGGGCAAACCCTGGGATGAGGGTGGAGTTCAGTTTCAGGTACTTGCTGACCCCCAGAGCCAAGGGAAATGTGAGTGGAGTTTTTGGCCTAGGCATCTCTTTCTGGGGTATGTCAGATGCAGCCTATATGTTTCTTCACATGCACAGAGTATGTTCAAATGAACTCTGCCCTTTTGTTCCCTCATTTCCTCTTGCAAGGACTGACTTCTTGCTAGTTTCTGATCTCCAGGAGATCAAGTAATTGGCTGGGTGGGCCTATTAAGCAGAAATTATTTAACTTATGCAATTAATCACAGGAAGAAATCAATAATCATTTTTCTGCTGGTTTTTTTGCTAGTTTTCTGATATTATAGGAAAAATGGGAAATATTCCACACAGACTATGCTTCGTATGACTGAAAATGGCATACAATTCTGACCCAAACTTGGTCAGCACTATTTTTCAATGATTTGAACAGGAAACACACAAAGTATCTGCATTAAGACAGGTGTAACGAATGCAATGTAAAGCCTCATGTGGTTTGCTTATGCTTTTTACATCTCCTCAGAACGTGTTGATAAATATTCTTTTTTTACTTAAAGTAATATGGGGGGCTTCCTGGATGTGTGTGTGTGTGTAAAATCTTCACAACAGTACAACAGTCTGGCTACTTGATACTGTGGGTTTGCCATCCCTGAAGATTTTTAAGAAGAGGCTGGATAGTCATGTCTCAAGGATAGTTTAGTTGGTTTTCCTACACATAGAACAGGGTTGGACTAAATCAGGGGTGTCAAACTTGTGGGCCATGGGCCGGATGTGTTGTGTGCTGGCCCCATTTTAGCAAAGGGGGGAAAAAGCCACGATACGCCACGTGATGACAACATGACTTAAGTTTGACGCCCTTGGACTAGATCCATGTGGTCTCTTTCAAATCCTCAACTCTGTGATTCAGTGATTTTTGGAATTTGAAGAATTTAAGGGAGCTAGAAAGCAGAAATGCACAGCATTTCACCCTTTAAGAAATGCAAAGAATTTAGGGCTATGGCTTTACCTGCAGTTGGTAATACTGTACTTATGATGCTATGCAAAGTTCCAGCATAGTCCTTGAGCCAATGGAAGTTGCACACACTAACCTTAAAGACATAAGCCTAATACTGGGTTTTTTAAAAAACAGAAAAGCCTGAGGATCCTCACAAAACCTATAATAAAATCCCATGGTTTCTTATGTGTGATTTGATTGTATCCATTGCTTTAATCAACTTGAAATGGTGCAATATGGACAACACTGAACCAAATTCTCACTGGCTATGGTAGATGTGCTAATGCCCTCCATAAGTGGGGCAAAATACCGTCACTAAATTGTGATTGCTATGCCAAAAAACAGTCTATCCAACATAGAGTGCCAAAATAAAGCCTATAATGGAGACTTTGCTGATTTTCTAGCTGCCGACAAATGAAGCAAAGATTCTATTTGTAATCTAGACAAATGCTTATATCTTTAGATTTTATATTTCATATTTTTATCTTGTGATTTTTTTGAATCAGAGTGTAATGTGAATGTTCCATACAATAAATGATAATCAACCTGAAAGCCCTCCCATCCTATTAAGTTCAGACCCTCTCCCCTCCCCTTGTAAGGTAGCCAATCTCAAGTCTAGGGCATAGATAGACAAATAATGACTCTTAATGGAAGGATGAGAGTTCTACTTTCCTCCTGCTTCAAACTCATGAAGCTGCTGCTAATGGTTGTGATATACTGTGTCTCTTCCCTAGGTGGCGATGCTATCCGAATGCAGCCAACAGCAAATGCAACATTGCACACTACAGATGAGGATCAGTCCTGCAAGCCATGACCTTGTAAGCAAGGCACGATCACTGGTGTGTGGTGGGAAAGTCATGGGGAAGCTACAGGAGACTTTTGGCAGCTGGTGTCTAGCTTCAGAAGGGTCTAAAAGAAGCTTTGTGCTACTGTGGCCCTTTTCCTCACAATCATCTGCTACTGTGTAGCAGCCCCTTCAGTGGAACCCCCTTTGTTTTCTGAAATGTAATCCCCCCCCGTGGCTAGATTAGGATGCTTTTGCATCAAGGACAAGGTTTTTCCAGAAGATCACTGGTCTGTGGAAGAGCTGATGGATTAAAATCTGCTGTGGAATGGAATTCTTCTGCTTTCTGTACAAATACAGGTAGTCCTCAACTTAGGGTCACAATTGAGCCCAACTTTTAAGTGGCTGAATGAGACATTTGTTAAGTGAGATTTGCCCCATTTTACGACCTTTCTTGCCACAGTTGTTAAATTAGTAACACAGTTGTTATATAAATCTGGCTTCTGCATTGACTTTGCTTGTCAGAAGATTGCAAAAGGTGATCACATGACCCCAGGGTACTGCAAGTATCATGAATGTGAGTCAGGTGCCAATCACGTGACCATGGAGAGGCTGCAATAGTTTAAGTGTGGAAAGTGATCATAAGTCACTTTTTTCAGTGCCGTTGTAACTTTGAATGGTCGCTAAATTGTTGTAAATCAAGGACTACCTGTACTACAACCTGAGGATACGCACTCAGAAATTGACTATTGTAATGACTCAAGATTGAGTTGGCTAGTTGTTGCCCAGTTCACAAAGTAATAGTTACATGCCTGAGATTTATCTGGGTGATTGATGCAGCTGACTGCACGTGGAAGTGGAAGGCCAGGGAGCCATGGCTAAGAATACCTGCAGCCAATGCAATCATTCCACATTAGTAGCAATATTGATATCCGCTTAGACAGAAATGCTACTCTAGATAATTCTCTAATGCTAAGGCCACCCTGAACAACTGTCTTATTTTATGTGCCCGTAGTTGCTTTGGCTCTCTCTCTGTCTCTTCCGTTTTGGTGACTGGCTAGCACTGGAAAAGATTACTCAGAAGAAGAGGCCTCTTTTCCTCCAGATCATGAATGCTGTGCACAGACCAACAGCTGATGTTTCTTAAGCGCAGTACAAACATCTGTCCATTCTAGTAGGCAAACTCACTTTAAAGCTTTCTATCTTTCTCCTCCTTTTCTAACCTCAATTTCTCTTCCCTCCTTCAGAGTTTGGTTTCCAGTCACAGCACAGTTCCTATTCCAGCAACCATTCCAGAGACATCCTGCCCAGGCCTGAATTACCAATCATTTGGACTCTGGACAAAGAGCTCCCTCTCCAGTTGTGATGCTGTGCAATGACTTTGGTGAGGGTGCCTGAATGCCTGCTTCAGAGTCATAAATCTTCTCAGGGAACATGGCCGCAGGCATGCTCAGACCTTGCAAGGGGCTGGTTTGAAGGAAAGAGAGACACTTTAGCTCCGCCTCTTGGGGCCCAAGGAACAGCTTCCCCCTTCTCCAGCAGCAGAGCGGTTCTTTGTTTAGCCCGTATTCCCACAACAGTGAAGGAAAAGAAAATGGATGCATGTTGCCAGCCAACAGTCTTTATCCCCAGTCATTCTTTCTCCTTGCAATCTTGGTATTTTGTGTTTTTAAGCCAGCCATATTGTGCCCTTGCCAAAGACCAACACATGATGGAGGAGGAGATATTGGGCTCTCTGCCTCCCAGTACCAGGGAGTCAAACTGCCCTGCCCCGGCTGTCCCCTGGCAACTGGGATTGCCCTCTCTGACCTATGCATTGGTGCCAAGCTGCATTTCAGGGTGTAGTGTGAAGTATGGTGGGATTTGGAGTGCTTGCCTGGTAAGTTGGTGTTGCCCATCATCTCCCACGATGAATTGCTGCTCCAGAGAGCTTTAGTTTGCTGTGTAGCATCCTGCCTCTTAAGCTGCCCCGAATCCTTTTTCTGTGGGGCAGTACTGGGCAAGGGCATTTTTCACACTGTGATTTAAAAAAAAAATTGTTAGGTTTTTATCAGCACAATTAAATATTTCTGAAGGAAAGAGCTGTTTTTTGTTCATGTTTCCTTGGGATGTATTCATTCATACATTCCTGGGAATATTGGGGTAGGTCTTACGTACTTTGCATGCAATCTCTGTTTGGCCTTTCAAGGACATCCTAGATAACCCCATATGCTGAAATTTTTAGTAGAACAAGGCAAGTAATAAATTACTATTTTTAATATATTTATGGACTGGATTATGCTATTTAAGGATCAATAGCTGGCCTCTCAACAGTATCAACAATATTTGCACATTGACTTGGATGGGAATGTGTGAAGTTATGTCAGAATTCTGTCTTAGATCTATCCTTGTCAACATTTTTATAAATCATTAGGCCCTAGAGAGGAATAAATATTGAGGGGTACCTTGGAAAATAGAATCAGTATTTAAATCCATATTTAAATATTGATATTTAAATTATCAAGAGCATTAAATAAAACCTACAAGAATACATAGATATAGATCAAAATGTATATAACTGGTGGGAATGGCCATAAACTATAAGATCAGCAAGTGATACTATAGAAATTTGCTTTTTGGGTTTGTTTTTAACCTTTTGTCATTAGACAGCACAGGTTGTGAGGGGCCTTTCTCTTTCGCACACATCGGGGTGGAATAAGGTGCCCACAACAGATAAATAATGGCAGCAGGAACCACCATATGTAAGCCAGTACCAGTATGTAAAGAGTCAGGCTTCTGAGGAGAGGTTTGACTTCCATCTTTCCATGTCTGACCTGTTTTGCTACAGTCATCTTTTATTTTTTAAATACTTCAAGATCTTTTTAAAGGACTGTCAACATAGGAGATGAAGCTAATTTGTTTCATTTGTTTCAGAGCAGTGTTTCTCAACCTTAGCAACTTTAAGATGCGTGAACTTCAACCCCCAAAATTCCACACTTTTTAAAATAGCAAACTTGAGAAATCCTGCTCCAAAGAATGTATCTTAACCATATGAACTTTTTGACGATAGAATAGAAGCACAGAGGCTGAATTATTGTCAAGAGAAGTATAACAAATGGGTATCTGTATCAATAGGAACTTGAACTTTTGAAATTGTATGTTTTTATAATTTAATTACAAATGTGCCCTATTCTAGAACTTAACATGCTTGACCCAGCCTTGGCTAAAAACTGCATAGTCTCTTCAGTCTTAATAGTATTATATGGCTTAAGAATGATTACTTTGGTACTAATTTGATAATATCTCTTCCCTGTTTTAGCAGAAAAATAACTAGGTGTTAAGAAGTGACTATTCTCCATAGTTGAGAGAATAATCAACAGATCAGGAAGACATAATCAGATACACATTTTTGCTTGGAGAATCAGGTCCAGGTCCAAGTTACTCCAAAACATGTTTTCTTTTATATATTGTTTTATTAAAGAATATTTAAAAGCTAACAGAAACTAATATAAAGAAAGAAAAAGAAATCAAAGAGAGGTGCAAGAAAGAAACACATAGAAAAAATATAAACCAAACTCTTAGAGAGGGCTGTAAAGCAGTATGCACTGCGCACTGCACTGTGAAGCAGTATAAACGTGCTATTGCTATAACTTTACCTCTATGGTTACAACATACCTCTCTTCTTTCTTTATCTATTCTGTTTAATCATCGAAACTATAAATCATGTCCATTTTTTCTATTTCATGCCAAAAGTCTGTAAGGGATTTCCAGTTAGCAATAAATGTAGATATTTCATTTCCCTAACCAAAGAAGTTAACTTAGTTATATCATTTTTACAACCATTCCTCCATTGGGGATAATGCCGAATCCTTCCATCTTTATGCATACAATAATCCTACTGCATATACAAAGTTCCATTTCTTTTCCAACCCTTTGTCCATCAGTCCCAAAAGAAAAAAAATGCTGGTTTCAATTGCACATTAATATTTTAAGATTATCTTAATCGGTGTATGTATTTTAATGCAAAAATTTCCAGCTTTTTCTTGCATATCCTAAGCATACCCCAAGCTGTTCATTGCACCAATATCCTGCAGTGTTTACTAGTGATTATTGGTGATTTTTTGTGCCGTCCTGGGCATCAGTAATAAAATCTTCTGTTTCTGTTGTAAGCCGAAAGCCTTTTAGCTACTGCACTAAGTCCACCCAAATCTTTTCTGAGAAGCCTTTCCAAGCATTCTAATCCCATATAGCGTTTCAGTGGGATGGATTCAGTCAGTGGGTGAATACTTTTCCTGCAGAAGCTACCAAATTCATCTTTTGGCATTTCATTAGAAGGATAATAAGTAGCAGGGCTGGAAAAATCCTGTAGAAGTATGATCAATCTGAAGAGGCAAGAATGGATGGAAATGATCTGTGTATCAACCTGAAGCAATTAACAAATGTTTGTATAGGTATTAATGTTTTGTTTTTTTAAAAAAAAAATTATATGCAGAAAGAAGAAATAACCTATACAAAAATAAAATTGTCCTATACTAAACATAAATACTCAAATGTTTATTCCATCCATCCATCAGGCTATACAACTGAATTCAGCTTACATTTAAGCCAGTTAGTGATAAAAACTTTGGGAAATATAATTAGTAATATATAGCCTGAATTTCTACATAATTTTCCAATTGGTCTCCCCAGTAAAATGTTTATTCAGATAAAGAGGCTTAAAACTGTTGTGTAATTAGCAGAGAATCCTCCCAAACTACACAGTATCCATTTTAATGACTAAGAGCACACAATATTGATTTCTGTTTCTTTATCCTAAAGATCCCAATTATTTTTAAGCAGCCTTTTTGTTCCAATCCCAGTTGGAAACCATTCAGATCTGAATTTCAACTGCCGGAAATCCTGTTTGGAAGCCTCCAGAATGTGCAAGGCTGGTTTAGATATTTATGTTGTTAAGACTAGCTGGTCTGATTCAGAGCAGTGGCTTTTTAAGTATCTTTGGCTAATGGCTATAAATTGCTTTGAATGTCGAAGTTGTAAGACTTGTTTATTTTGCAAAGTATTTATGAAGGTTAAGTCTATTGTAATTTTATATGTTTCCCCTTAATATTTTGATGATTCATTTTCAATGTTGAGAAAAGTAGGCTGCTTAATGTGTCAAGTGCAATCAAAGCAAAAGCCAGCAGCTTAATTGCACTTGCAAAAAAAAGGAACTGAGCAGCCACTTACATATTCACAGCATTCCTTGACTTCATAATTGCAAACTCAGTTTTTAATATTTCATGGAAACTGACTGAAGAAAGGCAAATAAGAGAGTTTATTTTATTCCTTAGTAGATGCTTGCAATTCGAATTGTTATCTGGTTCCAGTCAGTTACATCACATTCAGTTATACTTTAGTAGAAGGTCTTTATTTTTATCCAATATGTGAAAAGATTTAATTCTTTTCCCCAACAATACTTAAATCTGACTGTTTTGGATATAGCATAGGAGAATGCCACTGCCTGCTTCCCCGCAGTCTGCCAGCCATCTTTTGAAGGTGTCATCGCTTGTTGTGGAGCAGTGACTAAATGTCACCTGATCCCGTTGACAGCTGTTGCTTTGCCCCCGCACCCTTTACGGAGACAAAAATGGCAGCTGGGATTCCACTGGGGTCATGTGACCTACTAAGAATAGCCTTGTAGGCTCAGGATAGGGAATGATATCAGAAAGAAGTCAAGATCTGGACAGGCAAAGTAGAAAAAGAGAAGCAAGCTTGGTGGACGGAGGGAAATTCCTGAAGTGGAAATAAAACAGGAAGAGGCCAAGGTGTAAAAGCCAGGAAGGAGAGAGGCTAGTACTGCCAAGGCAGGGGAGCTGGAGCAGGCAGGCAGAATAAGGCAGAGAGAGCAGAGATTGACAAGGCAGGCGTTGAGATTTAGGGAAAGCGGAGGGGGTCATCCATCCAGCCCATTGGAGTGTGCTGTGGGCAAGAATCAGTGTTGCGGGGATGAACTTTGCCGTGGGCTTCAAGCCGATGCTGGGGACTTCACAGAGCATGGATAACCTGGAGAAGCAGCTTATCTGCCCCATCTGTTTGGAGATGTTCACCAAGCCAGTGGTCATCCTGCCCTGCCAACACAATCTCTGTCGTAAGTGTGCCAACGACATCTTTCAGGTGAGCAAGAAGCCCAGGAATCAGTGCTCTGGATAAGCATAACATGAAAGGGATTCAGGTCGGTCTGGGTGATGTCTTTCTAAAATCAGACATTTCTGAGTGAAGGAGTTTATGATAATTATGTAATAAATATTATGGTGTATTCTCTGCTTATAGATAGCCATTAATATTCATCACACTTCTTGGGTAACATAAATAAAGGGAAATATTTGCCTCCCAAAACTTAAGAAGGCCAATGAGAGAGGGGGATGAAGGAGCAATAGAGAATTTGGAAGTAGGAATAATTGCAATGCTGGTTACATGTTTTGTGGGAAAGGACTGGTGTATCAAGGCCAGTGTGCTTGTTTAAGGAGCGGTTTGGAAGGCAGGAGTAGGAAGAACAATGTGTATTGTGTTGATCAGGCGCTCCAAAATGGGAGGAGTACAAGACTGGTTGTGAGATTCAGGGCAGGATGGCAACACCTTGTATTAGCCTGGAGAGGCCATTATAAGCAGGCCTGAAGGAGGAGAGGGCCTTTGTATGTATCATCAGTGAGTGGAATAAAATTGATGCAATTAAAGGCCTCTTCCTACAGAACATTTTCTATACATTGCAATCTTCTGGAGCCAGTAACAACCAGATATTTCCATTTAGTCTGTACCCACTTAGCTAAAATGAAAAAGAAGACAAAAATGAAACTTGAGAGCTGGATGATGGAATGGAACACACGGGGGAGGGGGGGTTATTCTACTGGTTTAAGTAGGATTTGTATATGATGATTTTTGTGAGTTGTCTAAATAGGAGGCTGCTGCAGTTATCACTTGTTTTGTTACACAGTTTGGCTAGGATCTAAAGAAGTGTAACACGAGGTGTGGAAATGAAAGTTTTAACCAAAGGAAGTATCTTCAGTCTCATTTAGTTACATGTTGACTACATTTATACAACTATGCTGAACTTAGAGACACTTTGGTCTAGTGTCTAGTCTAGCATCAGGCTCAAAAGCAGGACATCCTGGGTTCAAGTCATGCCTTTGCCATGAAACCCAGTTAGGTGACTTTGGACTAGTCATTCTTTCTCAACCCAACCACCTCCCAGAGTTTCTGTGGGGAAAATAGAAGAAGGAAAGTGTTGGATATGTTTTCCTTTATTATTTTTTAAAATAATAAAGACCGGATAAAAATAAATAAATCCCTTTTCTGGATTCATACAATACTGCATTCAGATAGATTTGTGTATCCTGCTAACTCACACAAAACTATCCCTTAAAACTAGCCTATATTGTGCAAATGCAGCCCTTTTACCAGGGGCAGCAGAACAGAAAATAAGACCATGACCAACCAACTTCCAGATGAGAAGAAAATGTGGTTTAACAGATCTGGAAACTATGTCCTACAAAAATTATGGAAAGAGCTAAGTAGCTTGGAGAAAAAAAGGCTATGTGGAGATTTATAATGTCTGCAAATATAGTATGTAATCATTTACCACACAGATAATGGAGCAGACGTTTTGAAGTAATGGGATGGTTGTTATGATGTGATAGATTTTTATCTCAACCTGAGGAGAAACGTATCTAGTAAGAGTTATTTCATAGCAACAAATCTCTCTTGGAGATGGAGACAAGCCTTTGTCAGGGCTGCCATAATTGGACTGATCTAAATCAGATGGCTTCCTAATGGAAAACTATCCAAGACTTAGTGATTTCCAAGATAACAGTTTTAAATATGTGAGCAGGTAAGACACTATAGTTACTTTATGCTGAAAAACACTTTTCATTAGCTCAAAGACCCTTTATTTTGTTTTAAACTGAGCCTTGACATTGACAATTGATGTCAGTCCTGAGTCCGGTATGTTTTTAGTTGTAAAGCTCCTAGAAACAATCATTTTCATCAAGAAGAAATATGCTTGGGTGGTTATTCTTTGATTTGAGCCAAGCTTGGCAAATGGCACCAGCTTACCCATTGCTTTCCTGCAAAAAATTACTATTGTTAGAGGAGGATGGTTCCTGCTGGCTCTGCCTTTAGGAAGTAATACTGTATTGATGGAGTGGTGGCTTAGTAGCTTAGCGCTTGACATTTGCTATCGCGATAGTACCGTTTTTTATTAATACAGCTTTCTGTAGCTCACTGGGAGAAACTGAGAGCCGTCTGAACAGATTCAGCTGCTATGTATAGAACTAAAGGCATCTGAATCAGATTTAGGACGTTTTGTGCAACACAGATAACCCTCGGCTTACAAACATTTGTTTAGAAACTGTTCAGAGTTACAAATCACTGAAAAAAGTGACATACGCCCAATCCTTGCACTTATGCCATCGCAATATCTCTATGGTCACGTGATCAAACTTTGGACACTTTATTTACAATGGTTGCAGCATCATAGGGTCATGTGATTGCCTTTTTTTCACCTTCCCAGTTGACTTCCAACAAGCAAAGTCAATGGGGGAAGCCGGATTTGTTTAATGGCCATGCAATTCACTTAACAACTGCAGTGATTTGTTTACTAACCATGGCAAACAAGGTTATAATATTGGGTGTACTCACTTAATAATCATGGTCCCAATTGTGGTTGCAAGTCAATTGTACCCACATTAAAACAGCCAGGGCTTTTCTTCCTTACTTAAAAGGGAACGCTCTACTTTAAGCAGCAAACAACAATTTAAATCTGCCTTGAGTATGGGTGGTGTGAAAGATAAAAACCACCTTATGGGGACACAACAGAAAAAGATGTTAGCTGGCATTTTTTATGGCTAGATTCTAGTAAGGAAAAGCCATCCTTAGTATCATTGCTAGGATTTTGTATCTCTCTGGACAAATTCTGGAAAATCTAATTCTTGATTCTTTAAAACCTGTTGTGTACATGCCCATCAACACCATCTGAGTTGTGGGATCCCTTTAAGCCTAAAGAATTAAACCCTTTTCTGAGAAAACTAAGCAGTCTAGGCCATCTGTAAAGGCCAAGATATAGTCAAGATATATACACCAAGATATAGTCTTTAAGTTCATTAAACAAAATGACTAACAAAAGTAACAAAAGTGCATGTTTTGCACTTTTACAAAACTAAGAAGGAAAGAAGTGATGTTAATTAGAATGAGAGTAAGGTTCTTTGCAGAGGAAGAATAATCTGTGCATGACCAGTGCCACCTAGAGGTCACAAAATAAATATATTGTGTAAGATTTTTAACTTTTGTTGGGTTCACTCCGCATATAAGCCAAATTCATTGTGTTGCAGGAAACAGTGCTAGCTTTTTTGTTTTATTTGTTTCCTTGTATTAATATGCCCAATTCTTTCAGAGTTGACTTCTGTATTCTAATCTCTCTTTTTTAACCTATTCAAGTATGTTGCCTTCTGCTTGAAATGCAGAGCAAAGTAGAATTGGTTGTCATCTGGACACACAATAATCTCTCAAAGGATTTTTTTTTAGCAGCTGTGCGACTTTACTATTCACCTTTGGTACTTTTACTAAACCAAAACCCTATTTTCTTATGACTTTATTCCTTTGCATCTAAATGCAGTACTTTAAAATCTGGTGAATTTCACTCGGTTGGTTGGGACCTTAATTCCTGGTTTACGTGATAATTCTTTGAATCAGAATTCTGACTTCTCTAGTATCATCTCTTCTTCTCAGATTGTGTGAAGGTCCGCTTTGATGATAGTTTCTTGCTCAGTCTATAGGTCAGAGGTCTCCAAACTTGGCAACTTTAAGACTTGTGGACTTCAACTCCCAGAATTCCTCAGCCAAGTCCACAAGTCTTAAAGTTGCCAAGTTTGGAGACCTCTGCTCTCTGTGCTTATATGAAACAAGACAGAATCCCTTAAGAGTAAGACAGAGTTTTGTAACTATGCTAGCTGGGGAATTCTGGGAGTTGAAGTCCACAGATCTTAAAATACCCAAGACTGAGAAGCACTGCCTTAAGATGAAACACCCAAAGGAGAATTCTGGGAGTTGAAGTCCACAAGTCTTAAAGTTGCCAAGTTTGGTGATCCCTGCTCTAAGTTAAAGACATTCTGAATGTTCCTTTTTTAATGTAACAAGGGGAAATTGAATATATGGGACATTCTTATATTCATCGAATTTAATCCCCTTTAAACTACATTGTGTTAAAATACAGTGAATTGATTACCTGCTTCCCCCACAAGGGCAGTCCCTGGTATAGGATTCGCAAGTAAGGAAAATCCACACAAAATTTCCCTGCACTTAAATAGGCCTCAACACATGATTTATAAAAAAAGATTGAACTGCGTATTGCCCAGGAAAAAGCCCTATATATCAGCCTCCTAATATCTTTCCCTCAGAAAGAAAATGTATTAATTTGTTCCTTTGAATTAGATGGAGTCCTATGCATTTTACCTTAAAAAATTCTTACAGATTCTCATGTTGACAAATCAATGCTTTTGTTCCAAAGAAATTTGTTTCCTGGCTCAAGTCTCACTTCAATGCTCTTTGCTCTAATATTGGAACAGGAGAGTCTATAGAAACCAACTGACCTCTGAAGGCCCTGTGTGGTATCCAAGAGTTTTCAGTGTAAACAACAGCAGTTCTGATTTTCAGACTAGGATTTTCTTTTTTCTAAAAAAATACATTTTATTAAATTTCTTCAAAAGCTAAAGTATAAAAAACAAAAATAAAAATAGCATTAAAATATTTCCAGGATGTTCCTATTTATTTATTTGTCTATTTGTTTATTTCTTTAACTTATATGCTGCCCATCTCACCAAAGATGATTTTAGGCAGCTTACAATCAATGAATAAAAATGCCATATAAAAACACGGAAACATTAAATAGTTATCTTAAATTTAAAATTCAGCTGAAATTAAAGTAACCAAGATGGAGACCAAAGAAGGGAGCAACATGCCCACTGGGAGGAGATGGGATATTATCTAATGTAGGCATTTTTTACTACTTAGAGGAGCTCTCTCTTCAAGTGGCTGTGTCTTATCCAAAATTTTAAGACCCCTTATTGGAGGAGTGTGGTTGTCCCATTTAACTTTTGCACTTCTTAAGTCATTAGACCATCATTCAGCTGTCTGAATATAACCTAGAACTCACATGTGAGTTGGAGAATGAGTTACGGTGCTATGCATATGGTGAGTTACTCTGGCAAGTTGGACATGGGATGGCTGTGAATAATCCTTTGCCCAATGGCTGCCTATTGCCGTGTTCTCTGAAGTTGCCAAGTCTTGTAATAGTGGCTGGTAGAGGACCTATTTCCATGACCTGTCCTGGGACAGAGGAATGTCATTGGTGTTCAGAAAGCCCTCCTGGGTTTCTATTATTGTTTCCTAGAAGGGCCACGTTCCTACCAAATGGGTAAATAAGTAGTATTGAACCTCAGCAAAAACTTTCCCATCGCCTTCTTGCCAGGCCTCCAACCCACTGTGGCAATCCCGTGGATCTACATCAGTGTCCTCAGGAGGCCGATTCCGGTGCCCATCCTGTCGGCATGAAGTGGTGCTGGACCGGCATGGAGTTTATGGCCTGCAACGCAATCTTTTGGTGGAAAACATAATTGATATCTACAAGCAAGAATCCTCTCGGTAAGTTAAATGTAGAATCCCATAATTTCTGTTTCAACACTTGGTGGTAGTCATTCTGCACCTAAGACGCGTGTGTGTGTGTGTGTGCTCATATATTTCTGTGGCTCTAAAACCTTTGTGTTCCAAATGAAGAAGCAGAACCAGAATTTTCTTTCTGATTACTTCAACTCACTTTCCTCCTTCAAGGCCTGTCAGAGATTGAATCTTTGACTGGACCTCTCAGGTCTTATCCTTCCTACTTCCTTATCATCTTCCTTCCTAAATGCTTTTCTTGCTTTCATACGCATTTTTCTACTTAATACCAGAGGTGGTATTCAGCAGGTTCTGACTAGTTCTGCAGAACCAGTAGCGGAAATTTTGAGTAGTTTGGAGAACCGGCAAATACCACCTCTGACTGGCCCCACCTTATCTATTCTCTGCTTCCCGAGTCTCAGCTGATCGGCTGGGTCTTCTTTTGTTGCCCTGCACAAGGAGAACGGAGCTGGAAAGCAGGTTAATGGGGTGGGGAGGGGAGGGGATTTTGCAGTAACCTCCCCCCCAGGAGTGGGTAGGGAATGGAGATTTTACAGTATCCTTCCCCTGTCATGCCCACCAAGCCACGCCACGCCCACTAAGCCATGCCCACAGTGTAAAAAGAGTAGTAAAATTTTTTGAATCCCACCACTGCTTAATACCAAATGTGTATCAACCAGTACATCTAGCACACTGTTGGCTCTTTCTATAGCAGAGTTCAAAGTTGCGAAGGTTAGCTAAAGCCATCTCTCTAAAGCTTGAACTTGTTTTTCAGAAAGTTATGCTAATACTGAGATCAGTTCTCAGTTCTTTATTTGCATAATATTTCAATATTATTGGATCACTGTATGCATAATCTCTGGTGGCAAGACCTGTTTAAAAATTAGGCTTCTCTCACAAGCAAAATATGCCTCTCACTTTTGCAAACATATTTTCTCTTTCATACGCTATTCTAAAAAGGGAGAATAATACAGCATAATAATGTGATATTTTTGAAAAAATGAAGGTACGCTTCTGTCAGCTCTTTAATGACCTATTACATGACTTTCTTTTTTAAAAAATAATTTCATTAAGCATTACAATTCTATAGATAAAAACTGACTACTGGAAATTAAAAGAATAAAAAAATAGAAAATGCAGGAAAAAGAATATAGCAAAGAATAAACAAGTGCCTTCTCCTCTTGTCAAAATCAGTATAAACAATTTTAATAATATATCACCTTCTCTTAAAACACAACAATCTCCATTCCATACTTCATCTATTACCTACCTATAATAAATCATTTCACCTCATAGTTCAGTCTTGGTTAGCAAAAGTCCATTAAGGGTTATTAGAAATAACAGTTTATCCCTTTTAACCTTGATCAGATAAATCAATTTTATTTATAAACAGATCCTTAAACCTTGTTAGTCAGCCCTAGTAAGCAGAAGTCCATCAAAGATTACAGAAAATAACAAATCTATTTTAACTTTGATCAAATAAACCCTATATTCCATTCCTTTTAACAATCTTAACCTATAATCCCATATCAGACAATGTCCTATGGCTTGTTCTCTTTTTTCTTTGTTGCTTCTCATAAAATCCTTCAGGTCTGTTTTTCCGATATAAGAAATTTATTCTTGTTTTTTATTTGCCATTTGTACATCCCTTTTAATTATTGAAAAATGGAATTAATTCATTTTTAAATGTAATATTTTCCATATCTTTCTTGAAGCTTGATATTTTAAAATCCACTTTGATATTCATCTCAATCTTGTCCAGTACAATTTGTTTCTCTTCCTTAATATCTGAACACAGTCTATCTATAGTGGCAGAAACTTCTAAAATTAACTTCTGCATCCATTGTTTAAAAATATCCTTTGATATGTTTAATGTTATTTTGTATTTTGCTCCATTTTGTGTTAGTAAGTCAAACTAAAGTGTTCCTCTCTTTTAATTGTAATCTTTAAACCAAATTGCCTTTCGTTTTCTCTCTAGTGTCCCTCAAATTCCCATCTTATCGTATTTCTTTTAAGAATTTAAAACAACAGTGTTTTCTCACAGGAAGGATTCTTATAACTAGTTTCAAAATCTTATTTCAAATCTATCTGGACCTTTAGTCCATTCACTGTATAACATTCGAATTGCTGTTCTTCTGATTATCTCTCCCTTCCCTCACAATTTGTATGTTCTTAAGCTTATCTTTAAAACTTATTTTGCTGAGGATTAAAGTGACCTCCCTCAGTGCCTGTTATAAGACCTGTCGATTGGAAGGTTCTTAATAGTTGAATAGCAGTAAAAAAGCAATTTCCATAAGTGTTTAAGAAAATGAGCCTTGGCAGAACTTTGTGTCCACAATACAGACTATATTGTGGCTGTGAACTTGGTGGAAATCCCTCAATTCCCAGCCACTCGACTTGTGAGCTAACTGAAGAAACCTTAGTTGCTGCTATTTACTCATGAGGAACAGCTGTCCAGACTACTGTTGGTTGATGCAGCAATCTCTTTGTCTCCAGAGAGATTTTGCTGGCTGCTGATCTGTAATATCATCTCTGAACCTTCCTATACCGTATATCTAGTTTCCTGTGTCCTCAATGGAACTCATTGCCTACCACAAGGCTTGGACATAAAATCCTGGGCAGGGAGCAGAAGAGAGCACAAATTTGTGGGTGCTCCTACAAAAAGACTCTGTTCCCCCGACTTTGCAATTTTCAAAATTGCTTTGGGATTTGCTCTTCTTTATGCGCTTAAAAAGAATATCATTCTTAAAATGCCCAACCTCATCTAAACACAGTACCAAGAAAACAGTTCATCTCATCAGTAATGTGAACCACATAAAACTATTAAATATGCTGATTACACTAATGTTGCATTGCTACTACTAACCAAAGGAAGAATCACGGTAGCTAAGCGTTGATGGTAGAATCAAAGGCTTGGTTTTCTCTTGGTCGCTGCATGTCTTGGATGGAACCGAACTGAAATCCATCTCCAGCTCAAATCATAAGACTTCCTTGCTGCTAAACTTCTATTTGGAACACCCAGAACTAGAGTATTTTCCTTTGGAAATAAAAATTGGGCCTCTTGGCATGCTGCACTATATTTCAAAAAGGAGCATATCTATTCTTATTTGACATAATGACCTGAAGTAAAATAGAAAGGTTTTTGAGCCAGGGTCGATCATTTTCTGGGGATTCAACATCTCTCTCAATCTCTGTTTATACTGTGGCCAGGCCTCTCCATGCCAAGGCAGAGCAGCAGCTGATGTGTGAAGAACATGAAGAGGAAAAGATCAACATATACTGCTTGACCTGTGAGGTTCCAACCTGCTCTATGTGCAAAGTCTTTGGAGCCCACAAAGACTGTGAAGTGGCTCCTCTGACCAACATTTATAAGCGCCAAAAGGTACAAGGAGCGGTGGTGGGGAGAGAAAGAGGGGACGTGAAAAGGAGAAGATCCTGTCTTCTTTCTACTCATAATTTCTGTTTTGAATGAGTGAATGAATCAATGAATGAATTCTTTATTGGCCGAGTGTGATTCAACACACAGGAATTTGTCTTGGTGCATATGCTCTCAGTGTACATAAAAAGAAAAGATACATTCATCAAGAAACATAAGGTGCAACACTTAATGAAAATCATAAGGTACAAATAAGCAATAAACTCATACTAGGAAACAGTCAGTATAAATTGTAAAGATAGAAGCAACAAGGTTACAGTCATACAGTCACCTATGGACACTTAGAGCAAACACTTGAGTTGTGCAGTGAGGGAGAAACATGTTACACATGTTAGATGCTGCTGTCCAATTTAGCAATTAACAGCATTGTGATCCTGGCCTGATATTACGACTTAGAATGTTAGTTTCTAAGTCAGCTGGCACACAGGGAAATTGCCAGCACCACAAATAAGTTATTCATGTATCAGGTGTGTTTATGGGTGTGGAGGAAAATTCCTGGATCATGAGCACTCAGGTAGTGTTGATTAGGGCTTTTCCTCTTCTCTGCTGCTTCCCTTTCCTACTATTTCCTTGTTTTCTTGGACAAGAGCCCATCCAGGGTGGGGCTTTCAGTCGCCTTATGATCTCAAGAGGGAAAAGATTCCCTAGAATTACTCCATCTGACCGGTTACTCATGTTGGCTGCACAGTCATGCAATAGAAGCGGAAACTTGTTCACAGGCACTGCACTGTAGCCTTCCTCTCTTCTTGAAGACCTACATAGAGGCTAGACTTTGGAGGAAATGGATTCTGAGGCTAAGTCCCGATGAACCATAAGATAAGTTCATGCAACATATGGCTGGCTCATCAAGGCTTAGTCTCAGAGTCTAGCCTCTATGTATATCTTTGAGTGAGACATTTCAAGTCTCAAATGAATTTGAGTAGTTTGTGGTTTGGAGTATTGCCTTAGTAGTATGTAATGTGAACTAAGCATTACAATATGTCTATTACAGTAAGTTTGTATATTTGCTAAGGCATGTACGACACGCTTTATGAATACCTGTTTTAATTACTGCATTTATTTAAGTCAGAGGTCTTCAAACTTGGCAACTTTAAGACTTGTGGACTTCAACTCCCAGAATTCTCCAGCCAGCTATGAGTTGAAGTCCACAAGTCTTAAAGTTGCCAAGTTTGGGGCCCCCTGACTCAAGTGGTGGGAGCCCAGCCATTAAGTTTCACCTTCCTATTTCTTCAGGGGGAGCTGAGTGATGGCATTGCCATGTTAGTGGCAGGGAATGACCGTATCCAAGCCATCATCACCCAGATGGAAGAGATCTGTAAAACTATTGAGGTGAGCATAAAATCATTCAATTTATTTTTGGGGATGCTTTCAAGTGATGTTTATTTCTGCAGGATATGCCAATACAGGTAATCCTTGACTTACAACTATTCACTTAATGACTGTTCAAAGTTACAGTGGCACTGAAAAAGTGACTTATGACTGGTTATCACATTTACTACTGTGGCAGCATCCCCATGGCTACATGATCAAAATTCAGGTGCTTGGCAACTGCTATTATTTATTCACTTAACAACTGCAGCAATTTGCTTAACAACTTGGCAAGCAAATATTGAAAAATGGAATGCAACTTACTTGACAACTACCTAGCTTAGCAATGAAAATGTTGGACTCAACTGTGCTCGTAAACTGAGGGCTACATGTAAGCTTCCCTCTTTCTCCTATATGAAAGTTGGAGAAAAGTTGGAGCCTTCTGGGAGCAAATAAGAGGAAAAGCAGGGAAATACACCCTTGCAGTACTTATTGATCTCATTATGCCATTTAGTTGACTTTAACCTGTGGTGGAAATAGTACTTTTAAAATAGTAGTTCATGTATTCTGTCCCTGGCAGGATAATGCTCGGCGACAGAAGCAGCACCTTTGTCTGCGCTTTGACTCTTTGTACAGCATCCTGGAGGAACGCAAAAAAGAGCTGTTGCAAGAAATTGGACGAGAGCAAGAGGAAAAAGTCCAAAGGGTGCGGGGGCTCATCCGGCAATATGGAGACCACCTTGAGGTCTCCTCTAAGCTGGTTGAGTCAGCCATCCAATCCATGGAGGAACCCCAGATGGCCCTCTATCTGCAGGTGCATACAGGGGTGACAGGACAGGGTGGGGGAACAGGGTAATCCTGGAGCCAGTTTAAAATCAATCAGAAAGAAGCAGGATATACTGTCCGCTTTCTTAAGGATGGACAGGTAAGGGGAGGAGAGAAGCAGGACCCCATTTGCAATTTGGAAGATTCGGTGGTTTAAAACTTGGGGATATAGAGCTGCGGTGGCTCAGCAGTTAGAATGCAGTACTGCAGGCTACTTCTACTGACTGCAGCTGCCTGCAATTTGGCAGATCGAATCTCACCAGGCTCAAGGTTGACTCAGCCTTCCATCCTCCTGAGGTGGGTAAAATGAGGACCCAGCTTGTTGGGGGCAATAGGCTGCCTCTGTAAAACTACTTAAAGAGGGCTCTAAAGCACTGTAAAACGGCATATAAGTCTAAGTGCTAAGTTGTTTTCTGCTTTGTTGATGCTGAAGATTCTCTCTTTCTTTCCTGCAGCAGTCAAAGGAGCTGATCAAAAAGTGAGTAGAAGCAATAGGAGCAAAGGTCCAGGTCCTGAGCCTTAGTATCAGCCTTCAGTGGCCCAATTGGCACTCAAGAGCAGCAGCATTCAAGATATCACAGATCCGCTTTTTTGTTTATTTTTTATTTTATTCAGAAGATTAAAATAGAAAATACAAAAGAAAAAAAGGTTAACAAAGACAAAACAAAACTAGACAAGTTTTTTTTTAAAAAAGGGAATTAAATGGACAAGAAAACAAAACTACATATTATCCCCTCCTATATTGCAACAAAAATAGTTTTTCCTCTTGCGAAACAGGCCCAAGATTTACAAACTTCTGCAGCTATTTGCAACCCAATCTGATGTGTCATACATTATGTACATGAAGAAAAAATAGTTAACAGGTTAATCAACAGCAAAGTTAATCAGAGATTCGCTTCTAATTTATGCATACTCTGTTCTTTGATCCAGTTAGGCTGGTGTCTGTCTCTCCAAAATGCACAAATTTGCGATTTGTTATTTTAGGCTCACTGTAATCTTTCTTTCCTTCTTGAACAACTACAGCAGTGGGATTCTTTCTGGATTCAGGATTACAGCCAGTGCTGTAGATTTTTCAGGTTGATATGTTAACGTTATTCTGAATCATATCCATGCTTAGAATTGTGGAAGCCAGTCACAGGAGTCTTTCCCAACATAGATTTTGTCAATTAAATATTAAGCCCAAGACTGAAGAATCAGCTTCTGTTTGCTTTCAGTAAATTAGTATTTAGATCAAACCATACAATCTCTCTATAGCAGGGGTCGCCAACCTTTTGGACCTCAGGGACCACCAAACTCATAACTTTTACATCCCGGGGACTACTAATATGAATATTGACTGACGATGGCTTGCTGAAGTTGGGGGGGGGAGAGAGAGAGAGAGAGAGAGAGAGAGATGAACTAACCTCCCTCCCTCCCTCCCTCCCTCTCTTTCTCTCTCTCACACACACACAGAGGCAGGGGTGGGATTCAAATTTAACAACCGGTTCTGTGGGCATGGCCTAATTTGTGGGTGTGGCTTGGTGGTCATGTGATTGGCTGGGCATAGCTTGTATGTAAATATTATATTTATGTAAATACTGATTTTTTTTTACAAAAAAAGAGCAGCTTTTACCCAAAATCAGGCAAAGCAGGCAGGCAGATTGAGTTGCTCACAGAATCACAGATTCGCTCACAGATCTATAATTCTGCCATCGGCTACCTGAGTGTGCACTGAATAATAGAAGCTTCAGCCCTAAAGAAGGTTCGGGTCTGAGCTGAAGATCTAAAGATTAGCTAGAAAGCCAGAAATCCAATGATTTCCTGCTTTCTAGCTAATCTAAATCTCACGGCACAGCAGAACAGCTGATGGTTGGGTGGGGGGAAGGAAAAATAGCAACTTAGCAGACAAGTTTACCAGGTAAGGAGTGAGTGGGTGGGGAGGGTTCCCGCGGGCCATGTGGGCGGTACAGCCTTGTATTCTGGCACAGCCAGGATTAATTGCTTTGGGAGGGGGTCCTTTGGAGGTGACATTTCTCTGCAGCCCACCAAAATTTTCTCACGGACCACTAGTGGGCCATGGCCCACCGGTTGGCAACCACTGCTCTATAGGACAGAGCAATGAAAACAATAGCGGGAAACATATATGGAAGTCACAATTGGCAGCAGTAAGCCACGATACCTGGCCTTTCCCCCAATTCCCCCCAAATGCTATGCACAGCTGGGATGCATACTTTTTCAGGAGTTTGGTGGGGACAGTTTTGGAAACCATTTCAGCTGACGTCTTTAGTTCATTATTTGCTGGAAGCAGAATGGACAAAGAAGGGAGGAGACAAACATTCATACCGTTGTCTCATTTTGGAGAGAAAGGAATCTTCTGCCCACTGCCAGTTCTCATCTCTATTTTTTTTTTTTTTTTTTTTGTGAAACGAAACATGCATCAGCTAGATTTCACCATGCCTCTTATTTTCTGCAGGATCACAGACATGTCCAAGGCATCCATGAGTAGCCGGCCTGAGTCTGGCTATGAAAACATGGACCATTTCTCTATCAATGTAGATCACGTTGCTGAAATGCTGAGAACTATTGAATTTCAGACAGGTGAGAGAGGCTGGACAGAAACATTTTGCTAGAGTGAGGGGAGAGGATACATCCACTGCTGTTCCTCCATTTGGGTGCCATTCTCTTTAAGTTTTTCATTAACTTACACATTCCCTGTCCAAGAAGGAATTTGACACTGAGGAATTGAAACCCTAACTCTAACTCTGTATGGTGGAAAAGCCTGTATCTAAGGAAGGGGGCATTGCAATGAAAGGTATTTGAAGAGTGGAGAAAAAGGAACCCTTGTATTATTGGTGGATGGGGATAGGTGGAATTATTTAGATTATCTCAAAGAGAATGACCCAAACCATTTTGAACTTGATTCAACAAAATCCCTCAGCCTTCTAAAGCAGAAATAGCATAAAATGACAAGACATTGTCTGGACAGTTCGATAGGCATTTGAAAGCAAGACTTTTGTGTAATCAGGTAATTCTGCAGACCCACAACATTTATATAGTTTGGGGTTTGAAGGAAATAGATATTTGGCTCATGAGTGCAAAGATCAACAGCAACATCAACCCAATAAAGAATTCTGGGACTTGTTCAGACAACATACCTAAGTCAGCTAAAAGTCTAATGTCTATATTTGCACAGGATCTAAAACTAGCATATTATGCAAATCCAGAAAATGGATCAGTAACTAGGTGATACATGCAGTTTAAAGGCTTAATGCTGGTGTATTTGGGAAAAAATATAAAAAAGTTATTTTACTTTAAACTTTTTTTAAAAAATTGCATCACAATCTCTTTTAAAAGTGAATTCCTGCATGTCGTGAAAGGATATTGAGCTAGATAGGATATTAATTTGGATAACAAATTTACATTAAGACTAAAGTTCTTTCTTTACTCAGAAAGATTAAAGGATTTGGTTTCCCTTTTGCTTGTAGCTTAGAGTTGTCTTCTGAAAAATGTACTTAGAACACGTATGACTTAGAAAGAAAATTATACAAAACCTACACAGTAATTATGCATTATGTGTGGGGAACCGAAGCATATTTTTGAAAGGTCTATCTACATAATGGAGGCATTCAGAAAGCATGTTGGAAAATCTGCGTTTAGAGATTCAAGATAGAGGAATATCACAAAGTTGTCATTTTCACACATGCCTGCTTCCCTCTCAGATATTTCTGGAGAAGAAACTGAGTCTGAAGGAATTATCGCAGAAGGAAGTGTTGAAGCTGGAGAGGAAGACCATCCAGAAGGATCAGAGGGGCCTGAAGGAGCAGAAGGTGAGTTGAAAAGCTGAAATGAGAGGTGGGTAGAGTTGTAATGAGTAGCTCTAACCTGCCTGGGGATGCACTGAGATTTTGCCACTGCAAGGCCTTGATTAGAAAGTCCAAATGATTTTTCTTCTTCCCACCTGTTCTGTTTGAGCCACAGTTTTCTTAGAAATGTCCTCATTTCTTAGAAATGTCCTCATCAATATTAAGAACCTGCAGAAGAAAACATCCTCAGAAATTATTTTAATATATTTAGCTCACTTAAGCACAGTTGAGCTAATAGATTAAAATAATGCCTGAGGGATGGAAGTGAGGCTTTTTTTGCCTGTGATTTTATAATCACAGTTCTGAGTACTTCTGTCCTTTCCTGTTGAGCTAACCTCAGCCTTAGCTGAGAAATGTAGAATGCTAGTGTCATGTATCTCCTTCTCTCTCTAGATGGAGAGAACCTGTCTCGATTCAGACCAAAGCCACCTAATATACCACCTCGGGGTAAGTCCTCCTTCTCCTGGACAATTGGCAGAGAATGAGAGGGCCAGGAGGAATATCTTCAGGAATGAGTCCCAACAACCGGATGTTCTCTTGATGGGATGCTTACATAGAAAGTTTCTAGGGATGATCTGAATGGAATTTTCTGCCAGGTGGTTGATTATTTTGTGTACTTTACCTGGCACTGCTATAGAGAAGACAATAGCCTAGCTTCTTTTATCACAATCTTTTTCAATGACATAAAAAAAGGGTGAGGTAGAAACACAGTGAAAAGAAATAACACCCATCAGCCAGAATTGAAGGAAGGGAATAGAGCAGGTCCTACTGTTTCCAAAGCAGCAGGGAAATAATTCTGCTTCCTAACCCAGAAATAGTGGGCAGAATTCTGGTAACTTATAACTGTTGATCTTTAGCTATTTTGGATCTTCTTTCCTGCTTCTGAGGCTTTGGGGTTTCCCTGGCAAAATTTCTCCCAAGGTTCATTCTCTTGTTCCCTCCCCCAACTCTTTATCTTTCCAAGGGTATAATGGAATTAAAAGAAGAGAATTTGTCACCAGGAAAGGGTAGGGTGCCCATTAGTGAGCTTTCCTGCTTTAGACTGGGATATTCACCAGACCTGGATCATCTGGGCAGCAATCTGGCACATTTTATTTCCCACTAGACGTGTATCTTATTTCTTCCACCAGGACAACACTGAAAAGTCACTTTGAAGACGGAAGCAGTTGGAGAATGTTCCGGTCAGCCCCATCCCATGCTTCTTCCTCCACTCCAGCAGACGTTTTTCTTGCTTCCTACTAAATTTTCTTTCTCTGTGCATCTTTTTCTTGCTTCCTTCTATGCTCTTTTTCTCCCCATACCATTTGGCTTTTTAATATATGGAGATAATAAAGTTGTGAGTTATTTTTGCTAACAGCAATTCTGGCAAGGTTCGTTGGGTGAGAGAGATTCTGTTGGATCCCTTTCTTTGGAGGAAAAATATGAGATTCATAGGCACGGTTGGTGAAATTTTCCATAGGGTGCTCATTCATAAATGTCTGCATTTATCATTCACAGGGGCTACCTGCGTTAGTTCTTTACCCCCTACCAGAAGTGGGTGGCTTTTCCCCAACTCATCAAGGGCTGGCTAAAATGTTTTCTTGTGTTGGGAAAAAGAGAGTCAGCCATAGGCGCGGCTTTAGCTTGGTTTAGAAACACTTCACTCTTAACCTTCCCATCCTGGGTTAAGGAAGGGATAACTTATTCCATCCTTTGAACTTGGATGAATCTAAATATTACTTTGACTAGTTGCAAATCTACACTGAGTGAGGAAAAGTGGCATCTCTACGTTTTGAGCACTGACTCTAGGCTGCATGTATTGGAGGTGGGAGGACAGAACTAGAGACAAAGAATTAGGACACCAGAAGAGGAACAAAATTCCTTGTCTAACTGGGCTGGAACTAAGAAAACAGTGATAGAGCATAACAAAAACAAACATAGGAAGAAGGAGCTGGCAATCTGCCAAAGGGAAAAATACCTCATTTTGCTAGAGAAGTCCTGCTCTGCCTGAAATGTCTTCTACCTGGCTTTAGACAGAAGGAATTGGTGGGAAGGACCAACCTTGGAGCACAGGAGAATATCAAAAGTGGAACTCCCATCTTCTGTAGATATAACTTTAGTGAGATGAGTGGCCATTTACATTATTTACATTTAAAAAACTAGGAAGGAAGTCTAATCTGCCTTCCTGACCTGCTGTTTTCAACTGATCAGAGCACCCTCCAACTAGGGAAAGGGCAAAAGGTTGCTCATTGTTAGTATCAGCAACCAGCTCAACAGCACCAATGAAAAGAATGGTTTGGAAGGCGCTTACGCTTTTTAGCGGGTCCAGGCAGAGCCGCTGTCCATGGTGCTACAAAGGAGTCAAGGGAATTTGAGAAGGGAATTTGTGGAGAGGGAGGGTCAATGGGGAATTTAGACACCCTGTATAGCTAGTATACATGGTGCTTCCCTCTCCCAGTTTAGCTGGCATGAAAATGCTTGATTCTAGCCTATATTCTGGGGTGCAATACAATGTTCTCTTAGATGGAAAAGTACCCCAGTTCTGAAAGCATTTGGATTTTACTTGAGTTTAGCTTTGCTATGGATAGGACCAAGGTTGACCTGGAGAATCAATGATCCGATTCAGGCTTCCTTTTACCTCAAGACCCAAGTTCTGTCTGCATTCCTGTAAAGCAGATTGAAATAGAGACACATCTGAAGATTTGTAGATCTGCGGAAATTTTGTTACCAAGACTAACATTTTACTTTGCCCCATCAGCATTCCTTTATTTCTCCAAAGTTTGGTAGAGTTGACTTACAGTACCAAGAGATTGTTTAAACTTCAGAATACACGCATAGTATGGCTCATTTAATTTTGGTTTGACTGACTGCTGGGTTTGCCATATTCGAACCCAGACGACTCCTTAACATCAGTTATGTAATGTGTGACCACAGAAAGTATGTTAATTCGGTAAATCAGTGTGAAGTAATGCGATGTAAACCCTTCTAGTGAACAGAAGAAGCTTCTTGGATGAGAAGCGAAACGTTTTCAAGGAAATGAACCGAGGAAGTCCAGTTGCTTTTTGGAAAAGCACCTTTGGGACCCTCTAGTGAATCCAAGAGTTTATATCAAGACGGCAAACCCTGACACCTCACAGCTCAAGTAGGGCCACCAGTGCAGCCCAGGACGCAACCTCACCCCTTCCCCGCCCTAAATCAACAGCCCGCACTCGGAAACCGTTTGACGCCCAAGAAGTTTTATTTCAGAAAGAAATGTCTTCTGCGAAGGCGCCGGAGTTGAGGCAAGCGATGCCGAAGGAAGTGCGGGGCGATTGAGTTGCTGGATTGGCTCACAAAGGCGAGGTTCTCTTGCGCGCCCTCGCCGACGGCTTCACTTGCCTACCGAGTCCAAGAGTTGACGGTTCAACTCTGCCTGGGCTTGCTGGCTCTGCGCCCGGGAGATCTCCATCATGTGGCGGAGGAGGTGGAAGGTGAGGTCGATCGAGAGCGGCGGCTCGTGGCGTTTGAGCCGGTCGCTCAGCTCGGCGAGGCGTCGACGCAGCTCTCCCTCCGGAGAGAGCCGGTGTAGAGATCGCAGCAACAGGCTCGCCACGTCTGGCTCGGGAACGGGTTGCAGTGGCTGGAGGGATCCGGCGCGGTTTTCCTCGGGGAACCGCAACCGCAGGCTCAGGTCGCTTTCTGCGCTGCCCTCGAGGTCGACCGCTGGTCTGGCTCCGAGGGACACTTGCAAGACCAGAAGGAGCAGCGAGGCCAGGAGGCTGGGCAGCTGCGCCCGCCTCATGCTGAGGCGGTCCGGGCCTGGGAAAGGAGACAGGGGGGGTCTTGGAAAGAGCGGGACCCTGGTACTGCCAGGGTGACTCAGGACAGGGAGCAAAGCCACCGACCTTCACCCCTAAAGTCGAGGAGAATCTGGGCAAGCCGGCTAAGGTCTACTTGAGAGATGCTCTCCTAAGCAACACGGACGGAGGACAACATCCCGAGGGCATCTCCGGCCCTCTCTTGGCGATCCAGTGCCAGTAGGGGGTGACACTGAGCTGGCAGTCGCGGCACCCGAAGGCTGGACTGGAGGATAGTCTTAGCCTCCGCATATTTTTCTTTTGCCTCCCGCCCTCCCACTCCCACCTCAGCCTCAGATAGAAGGGAAGCAACTTACCGCGATGCGTCCTTGCGGAGCCGGGAAAAGGGTGCTCGGAGTCGCTGGCGGGTTCTTTATATATAGCAAGCTGGGAGATCCATTGACGTCAGTGAGGAACATGGACTGGTTGCTGATGGTGCGGGCGGTGTCCCCCATAGACCCTCTTGGGACCTGAGTCTGGGTGGGAGAAGGTGTCCTTGTGCTTTGTTACTGGGTGCCTACTCCCCACCCTCCCTCCTCCGGATTATTTCAGCCCTCCTGCAAGTCGTCTCAGAGCAAATCCACTTTGCAGTTCTAGTTTTTCTCACCTGCTTCCCAGGTCCGAAGACGCTGGTCCTAAGAATGTCGTAACGACTCTCAAGGCACTAATGCCAGGGAGACCAGCTGAGCCCCCTGAAAGCCTCTACATTCAAACATGCATGAATCTCAGCCTTGGGTTGGTTGGGTTAGAAGATGCTGCCTCTATCACTTAAAACAAATTAATATCAGCAGAAGCTGTGATGAACTTCAAAACTGAAGCTGACGTACAGGTAATTCTGATTAGTCTGAGAAAATCCCATAGGAAAGGATCAGGAAGTAATAGGTAGGAATGGAGGTGAACATGTCAGCTTTAGCTGGTAATCTCTCCAGCATCTTAATAGAATAGACCAACCACAGCCCATACAAGAGAGGAAGATGTTGTGACTGGTAAGCAGATCTGAAGAACTGGACAGACTTGGCCAGCCAGTTGAAATCTCTTGAATGGCAGTAAGGAAGGAGAGGACAAGAGAACAAACACAAAAAAAGACACCAAACTATGCCTGGAATTTTAATTATTTAATAAATGCATCATTTAATAAATACATATGACTATCCACTTGCCAGTGTGACTCTGGGTAGCTAATAAAAAAAAAAAAACAGACATACAATCCAGCTGTCAAACCACTTCGTGTTTCTTCAAAACAGACACATCTAACATCTCATCCAAAATTTATAGAGAAAAAACAGTTTTTAATATCTTACAGAAGGTAACAAGGATGGGGAGGGGAGATTATTTCAAAGAAAAGAACTACTATGGAAGATGTAGAACTATGACCTTGAATTGCATCTTGCAGCTTATTAAGAGATATTGCACAAAATAATAATGTTAAATGGGCATATTATGGTGTACACATCTGACCCACTGCATTCTGAATTAGTTTCTGGATATTCTTCTAGGGCAGCCCCATTTAAAGTGCATTACAGTAACTCAACCAGAAGATACTAAGATCGGAATGATCAGGAGCAGAGACACCTGACCCAGGAGCTGACACATCAACTAGCCATTATGTCTTAATACAATGGAGCAACAATATAATTTTTTGTTTGGAAGTTGGTTATACATGCACAACAATTATATTTGGTTACGCTGTTTTGTGAGTGTGTTAAATCTGATAAGCTACCCAATTCTCTGATGTGATCTCCTTGTAAGAGTAGCCTCCGTCCTGTTATAGAAACTGTCGGGTCCTGTACATCCCCCCGCCCCACAACCCCCCTTTATTATTTGGGGCTCTCTTCCATTGGCTGGCGCACACGGATTGATTTGGTACAGCGGCACGAAAGGACGATCCGAGCTACTCTCTACTTTCCCCTCCCCGCTTCCCATTCATCTCCTCGTGCTACTTGGCCCCAATAGGAAGACAAACATCCGCTAGGGAATGCCATCCGCTGGGCAAACACCGGCCAGGTCCGCCACCGCGAAGCGAGGAAGCGGTGATGATTGGCTGGCGGGGCGGCCCGACAGCGGGAGCGCGAGAGAGCCCTTTTCAGCCAGCGTCCAGTGCCCTGGCCCTGCGTAAATAGCGGGCATGAGAAAGGGCGCGCTAGTGACTTAAAAACTTCAGCTCTGTGAGGAGAGACGGAACTCTGCTGAGCAGCCTCTCCCCTCATCCTTGGAGGGTAAAGCGGCTCTGGCAAGGCGGCGCAGCCTGGCACCCACCTACCCACCCTCAAATCAAACAAAAACCGAGAAGCGCTACTTTCTTCCGGACGCTACAGCAGAAGAGCTCGGGTGTTTCATTCCGGAGTTGTTATGGAAGCAGAGGGGAGCCATTCATTAAAATTCAAGAACATGGCGACGGCCTATTCCTCTCTTGCTGCGGCCAGGCAAAGCAGAGGGGCTGCCTGGGAGAGCTTCAAAATCTCCTCAGTGCTGGGCAATTTCATTTTAAATGCAGGCCCTCTAGAATTTTGGCCAGTTCAAGCACCATCAGTAGTTTGCAAAGAGGCAATGTTCCACCAGCAGCACAGATATGGCTTTC